TGAGATAGCTGAGACCTGTAAGATGTCATATGAACGTGTGCAACATATTTTGCACCAACATTTGCATATGGAAAAGCTCTGTGCAAGATGGGTGCCGCGTTTGCTAACAGTCGACCAAAAATTGATTCGAAAAAACATTTCTACCGCAAATTTGTCATTGTATAAGCGTAATCCAAGCGAATTTTTGCGTCGATTCGTAACCGTTGACGAAACGTGGGTCCACCACTACACTCCTGAAACCAAAGAACAGTCTAAACAGTGGATTGGACCAGGGGAACCAACTCCAAAGAAGGCAAAAACAATTTTTTCGGCGAACAAGGTTATGGCTACTGTTTTTTGGGATGCAAGAGGTATTATATACATTGATTACCTTGCAAAGGGTAATACTATCACTGGTCAATACTACGCAGACTTATTGCAACGTTTGAGCCACGAGGTGAAAATTAAACGACCTCATCTGGCGAAGAAAAAAATCTTGTTTCATCACGATAACGCACCAGCGCACACGTCAATCGTTGCGACGGCTAAAATCAACGATCTAAAGTTTGAATTGATGCCGCACCCTCCTTACTCTCCAGACCTAGCCCCGAGTGACTATTTTCTGTTCCCTAATCTCAAAAAATGGCTTGGCGGTAAGAGATTTGCGGACAATGAAGAAGTAATCGAAGCTGTAAATGGTTATTTTGAGGAGCTTGACGAATCAGTCTATAGAGATGGCATTAATAGACTGGAACACCGCTATGAGAAATGTATCAGCCTTGGAGGAGATTATGTTGAGAAATAAAAAAAAAAAATTTTTAAAAACCTTGTTTTTCTTGGTCAGGCCGGAAACTTATCAATCCACCCTCGTAAAACCTTTGTAAAAAGTGTAGCATGCACATTTTGTTGGCACAATAGTGGGAAAAACAGCTGTGATCTTGAATTATTTCAAATGAAAATGAAACTTTCCCACCCTAATGCTAACAAAAGGTACTTACCAATTTTTTTCAGAAAGTTTTTCATTTCCTTTCTTTTCGTTGGAATCCAATTTGAAAATACACTCAACCAAGCCCTTTGTTCATTGATCAGATACTTTTTTATCTTATCAAGGGTTAAAAAATAAACTCTCAAAAGGAAAAGATCAGAGAACCCCCACTGTCATTAGGAAATGAATATTTAAGTTATGGTAGGACACCTTTTGAAACATGAAGGGCTGGTGGTAGACTTACTAGTAACAGAAATAGAAGTAGAGAGAGACAGAGGAAGGCACATATGAGATTAGTGTTTGTAAATAGTTAGATAAACCCAAAAATTGTACAATTAGTTTTCGGATTTAACAAAAATTTGAAGTAAAAATTTCTAGAAAATTTAAAAAGATTAGAACACTGGTTACTTACAAAAAAAATGCTGAAAATGTTACAACACTTTACAACGACAATGCGAATCCTCTTTATGGTTTGATCAAATTTTAGAACAGTTAATTTTTTTAATGTTTATACTTGTGCTAATAACCTTCAAAAGAATTATAGAAAGTATTATTTTTTAATACGAAGTGTAGAAATTTTTAGTTGAAACGAAAGCCGGTATAGCTGGACAACTTTTTCCCAGCTTATTATATTATTTAATTAAATTATTAAAATTCAAGCTGTTATTATCAAACCTTAAACAACTTCGGATTTAAATTAATAATAATACATTATGGATAAGTGAAATAATCGACTTAAATTTTGTTACGAAATACAGTCCTTGAATTTAGAATTTTTGAAAGACAATTATTGTAGGTAACATACAAGCATTGCATCAGTCTTACATTAAAATGTGTTTATAAATTGGTACCGACTATTTGTAATACCAAATAATGGTTTATAATTCCATATAAATTTTTAATACTTACATAAATACTTCTTTAATTGTAACCCTAATCGTACTTTATTATCATTACGATATACTTATACTTATTTAATTCAGGAATGTACGCATTAGCTGATAGTAAGTAACTTTCTTTTTCTAGTTCTTCACTGACCGAGCAAAAGGCGTAGGCAATTGTTTTCCTGTCAGTTTTCACTAATCAGCATTATAAAAAGAAAAGTATTTATGGTATTTAATTCGGCTAATAAGCGATCTAACAAGGCAGAATGTCACGCGAAAACGTCTGATTATACGGCGATAAAGAGCGCATCTTTTTTGCATTAATTACTCGAGTAATTTAACTTGAACATCCAGCCGGTTAGGATCGCTCTAATTCTCTGGAATGCATAGTTACTATCCGCAAAACGGCTCACTCGATGCTTTCAACTGTTAAGATACCGTTACGTTATAATTTGCCGTAGATACAGTAATGCATGTAGATGTACGTATGTGATAATGCATTCATTGCAACCTTTCACTCTCGGAGATATCAACGCTCGATGAAGCGAGTAACCTTCGAAATCGGCCGCTTACTTAATATTTTACACGCACGCCACTGAAATTTAGCAATTGCACCGCATGTAACGTTTTTTCCTTTTTTCCATTTTGACACGAACAATTCCAAATTTCCCAACCGGAAAATCGAACCGTGATCTGATTTTCAAATCAACCGCCAACTTCGTAATCAAAGTAAACTAGTTCAGAACAAACTTGAATTTAAATCGCAACTTTGAAGAAGGAAAAAATGCAGGTGGGTGCTTGGTGTAATTGAAAATCAAACTTTTCTACACATTATACAAGTAATTGTTCTATATATGTACATTATTAATATAACTAACGTATACTATTTGGTATAATAAAATTTATTATCAATGTTATCACCAGATAGATAATGTCACTTTAATCTCATCCCTTAAAAAGTTTTAGTCACTTTTCAAAAAAAAAAATAACAACCGAAACCAAATGTTTAATTATTATTTGATATTAAACTTACCTATTGTAAAGTATTTTGTGAAGCTAGTCCTATGGTCCTAAAGAACTAAAAAAAATTGGATTTAATTCACTTCACCGAAAATGTTTTGTAGCGCATCGTGTTAAGGGCCAAAACCTATCGGTAACGAGGTGTCATCGAGTACAAATATCGCGCGTTGTCTTTGTCTTAAGCTGTTGCTTATCGCGCTTTCGGTTAAGAACTGAAAGCTGAGAAGTTTAAGTTTCTTTTACCTAAATACAAGAACGCATGCGCTCAGGTAAGTGTCTTAAGATAATCCCAGGTACGAAGACTAATATATACAATAATATGAAGACCCTCCGTCGCTAAGCTTAATAAAGCAGCGGATAGGCAACTTGATAAACTATTAAAATTCGGCAAATTCATTTTAGAAGCAAAAACACCCCGTATAAGGATGATGAACTTTGACGATAGGAAGATTCATAGCATTAATCCTAATGAGCAAACAGATATAGATATGCAAAAAAGAAAAATAAACGGATTTATTTAATTAAAAAAAAAGCCGCATACTTTTACGTTCCTTGACTTCATATATAAATAAAGAATCGTTCTAGGCATTTCTGTTCTTTAATTCAGCGTAAAAATGACCTATTGTTTTCATTTGTTTCCGACAATTTGTTCCCGACAATTCCCTATTCTTCTTGAAATTTAACATTTGCATCACTCTGCAGTCTGCAGTAGTGATAATATGCATTTTCCACTTTGCATTCGTCGCAAGTTTAAATAAATATAATAAAACTGAGAAAACATTTTTATTTCCTCATTCAAAGAAAAAAAACAGAATTAACCCAATACAATATTATAAAATTGATTAAACGAATTATGTACAATAATAAGGATAATAACTGAAGGTATGCTACAATCCATTTGTTTCTGTTTTTAAACAAATTGCCTATAAATTGAAACCATGTTAAGTCAATTAATTCAATCTAGGATTTATTTAAGTCACAAATATTGGTTATTTGCTCAATCCTAGAATAAATATTTCCAATCGTTATTTGTAACGTGTTCTATTTCATGTCCTTAGTGTTTGAAAATAATTAAGAACGAAAACGATTTAATAGAATAAAACCTACACCAACGTTTCGCCTCTAGTTTGAGACATTTTTCAAGGGTAGGGGGAATATTTGAGTCACAAAATTTGCTTGTAAATCGTTGAGGGGTATGGTTTATTTTATTAAATCTTTTTCGCCCTTAATCAGTTCTGATTAATTTTAGTGTTATCTGTAACGTCATAAATTTTGATCTTGACCGTATTAGTAATTATAAAAAAAAATATAAAACGTTATATATATTGTACATCAAAAATTAGCAAATTAACGCCTCTGTTTGACTTAAACTTATTTATTTATCTTCGCATGTTGATTATATGTTTAAAAAAGCGTTTCTGTTGTTTGGGTTGCCACTTCGGGTTATTCTGTTTTAAATTTATACTTACACTTACTTTAACAAAGCAATTCGGAAGTAATGTTAGCGTACGTAGATCGTAGGCATTCTTCGTTAATTAAAAAAAGAGTGCGGAACGGTCGGTCACACGCCCCACGCGTGGGTGACTAAAAACGGGCGCTGTAGGGATGCATGATGTATTTTCTATTCTTCTCTTTTATTAATTTCCTTTTTCTTTTAAGTAAAATTCAAAGCGTAATAATTAATTTCGTTTTAAAATAGATAAATTCTGCAAAAAATATTATTTAAAGATAATTTTGTTATTACCTAATCGTTAACTTGCGACATATTAGGGATTGTTCATAAAATACATTCTCAAATAAAGGGAAGGGAGGGATATTGCTTAGCGTGACGAGATATGACAAAGGGGCAAGGGAGGGTCTAAAGAAATCTGACTTAGCAGTTCATCAATTTTATTTTAATATTTGTCTTAACTTGGCAATTCTTAAAATTTTTATTACGAAAGAAAATCATTCGCATTGCAATTTTTAATCACAAGTGATCGTTTATAGGGGGAGAGTGGACCATTTTTTTGTGACGTAACTTTTGTTAGTGGAGTCGCTGAAAGTGTGACGAAGGGAGAAGGAGGGGTCCAAAAGATAAAATTCTGAGTGATGTATTTGATGGACGACCCCTTATAAAAAAATACACAAAATAATAAATGTATTTCCTTCGTTTATTTTCATTTATATAGAAGTTTTTTATACAATAGTTAAACATCTTTTGCATATAAAACAATTATGACTAGAAAGAAAGTAAACAATTGTACAGAGGGGTGATTTGACGATTTAGAGTCACATAACTTATTGGTTTCTAATCGCAGCAAATTGCTTTCTTTGATGTCTAATATTGAATGTTAACACTGGAGCCTGAAGAAGAAATCTGAAGATTGAAGTCGTAGATTAACTCACTTACGCATACTGTCATCAAATCCAATTGTGTAATTGGACTAAAAAAGTAAATCGACCGATGCAATATTTTAAAGTCACAAAGTCAAAGTAAGTCGGTCAACTGTAAACTATAAGTCATCATATTAACAAAACACTTGATAGAAAAAAAATCAATGAAGTCAAAAGTTCAGTTCTTGGCACACGCAATATTATTCTGAACTTTGGCGATCCAGTGCTTATACAAATCCAATGAATTATCAATTATACATCAAAGAGAGAATTGTTTATCAATCGATTTATATCGTTTGATCTAATATACGATCGACAATCGATTAGAACCCAACCAATAAGTAATTTGACATTGAAAATCGCCCATTTATTCTATTTATCGCCCTCCGTACGTAAAACAACATTAAAGTAACATGTTGATTGTTTAAAACAAATGCCTTTTACATATACATTATTTCAAAGCGACTTCGACTCGATAAATAGGATTTTTATTAACATCCGTGCGTCATTTTCGTTAGTTTAAGAAAAAAAGCACCCGCGAACAATTTCCTTCCCTATTTATGTTTACTTACAATAGTTAGAACAGCACATCAATTTGTATTAAAACGAATTGAAAAACAAAACAAAGCATAATAAAATAAGGGTACATTGTACCATAAAATCAGTTCGTCATTAACTATTTTTGTTTTGACGAAAATAGTCTTTTCTGAAAGTCCGGTTCATATAGCCTCCAACATATATCCTTATCCAAACTGGAGCAAGCGTTGTGAAAAAATACTAAGAAAATAAGAAAAAAAGATTATTAAAAGCGTGTTAATATTTAAATATATATTTAAAAAAAATAATCACAACTGTAAAATGTATAAAAAATACCTTAAAACAGTACTTACTACCTGATTTTATAAAACGCATTCATTTAACTATTTAATTGTAAATTATTTAGACTGAATTCTATAATAATGGTTTTTAATCTGCTGATCGATAGTCAAAATATTTCTAAAAAAAAATTTCAGAAAACTCTTTATTTTGCAAAACGTTAATTTAATTTCCTACCTTCATTTGAAATATTTAAAACTTTAAAAAGTCATTAACTTTGTACTTTTCTTAATAATAAGATGCTCAGCAAAGGTGGAGCTAGTTTGTTGCAAATTCAAACTTCTTTCACGTTCTTGTATCTGTTGAATAAAGAATCTACCTGTTTGTCCAATGTATGCCCTATTGCAATGGCTGAATAATCTTTTGTCGCTTTCATATTCATATTTATTTATAAGAGAAAGTATATTTTAAAACATTGCGTGCAAATAAATATTCGATTCTCTTCGATCTAGCGTAGTCAGTAATCGTCAAGTAACGTTTATTTTATTTAAATTTTTAATTATTGATTACTCAACACTACGTGCTTTCCCCAAAATATTTTGGAAACTACATGCGTAGGTAACATTGTTTTGATTTGATTCTCTCACAGTAAGGATTTTCAAGAGGACTATAAATATTTCATTATTCTATTTTTTTATTGAGTTTTAATGGACGAAATAATGTTTTGAAGAGTTTATTTGCACAATTAAAAGAAAAGCAAAAGAATATGTACCGAAGTAAATTCGACTTTTTTTGTTTAAATATTTGTTATCCATTATGCCAAAAAATATTGACATTATGAATAGCAAAGTCGATTACCTTGTCAAAATACTCGAGCACTTATAACTTAAATACTAACAATGTAAACGGAAAGGTTTTTGAATTTAAAATTCCACAACTTGTAGCAAGTTTTCTAAAAATAGTATTTACAAATATAATGTAAACAACCTCAGTATACTTGCATAACGTATAACTCATATTAATAGAGCTTTTATGATATATAATTATTATTTTGTAATCCATTTATTTTGACATTTACGTTGGTTAAAAAGTGGAAGAAAATGATTTGATAACTGTAAATTTAAGTTTCATTTTCTAATTACGGAAATTCGTTATAATTCCTAAGTATTATATTACCTGAATCCCATGGGCCCAATAACCTGTAGTGTGATCAACACGACCTAGCAAATTTACAGCGGATTTGGCGTATGTTTCAGCGTCAGGAACAAATAGGCCACTCTCCTGTAGCCTGTTGCTAAATTGGTTCATTTTGGTATTAAGAAAAAGAGGCGATAAGTGTTGAACAGTAATACCATACTTTGAATATTCATGTCTAAGTGCCATAGTAAAGCTTTTGACGTAAACCTATAAAAACATATACAAAAATATTACGTTATAAATTACTATAAAATGGAGAAGCATCAATAAATAATTAAAGAAATTTTTTTTTCTTTGAATTCTAGTTGTGTTAAAATTTTATAGAGACATTTAAAATTTGTAAACGAGATAAGACACCTTCTCAGGTATGAAGGGCTAGTTAAAGACATATTAGAAACAGAAACAGGAGTTAAAAGGAGTAAAGGTAGATCTAGATTAGATTACTATTCACAAATAGTTAAGGATGTGAGATGTTCTAATTTTAAGGTTAATGCGAAGGTTAGCTCAGAATAGAAAAGAGTGGAAGTGGGTGTCCAACCAGTCTTAGGGCTGACGAACTTATAATGATGATTATACCATTTTGAGACAAATTTTTATAAAACTTCGTAATTCTGGTGTAGTTTATAGACAGAACGAATGAGACATTTGTCATATCGTGATTTCCGATGACCTTTTCATAGAAGTTTACCGCCAGTGAGGTCAAGTACGACTTGATAACTTTTAAAGTTGGTTGTTGATGGCTATTCACAGTCTACTCAAACTCACACCATACCTTCAATTGCCGAAAGACGTAAAAATCCCTTGGTGCGAGGTCTGGACTATACGGTGGATGATCGGAAATATCTTACTTAATTGTTTGAGAAGACTTGTCATCATATTGGCACAGTGCTGTCATGAATGAAACCCACGATCATCCAGCGTATAGTCCAAACCTCACACCAATTGATATTCACCTCTTTTGACAATTACAGGCATGATTACATGGACAAAGCTTTGTCATCAACAAAGAACGCTGGCATCATTTTCTAATGGTTGAAAAAAAAATAATTTACTTAAATTTTGCTCACGTTGTGTCTTAGAAACCACTTCAAAGCATTTAAAATTACGGTAATTAATTACACTGTATACTCATTTAGATTATCTAACCTGTAGTGAATTTCTGGGAGATAAGTAAATGAAATAACTCTTGTTTCTTTTACATATGTACTTAACAAGAAGACGCAATACTTAAATAGAATTGCATGAATTTGCAAACAAAATAATTTTGAAACGCATTATATAACAATGTTGCCTTTTTTTAGCAAGTGAAAGTGAATTAACTGTGCATTATAATAACAAATTTATTCAACAAATAGGTCTAATGGATATTAATGAAAAAATATCTAGTAAGTCATTTAATGAGTACAATACAAGAAATAGAAGAACGATTTCTTTAAGAATGACTTATGTTTTTATTATTTTAGATTAACTTAATTGAATAGAAATCTGTAAGACTCAAAAATTAATTTAAATAAGACACGTGGGATCAAAAAAATAATTTTATCCGCATGAACTCAGATTTCAATACGTTTTAATTATTTCGAAAAATAATCCAATTTTTATACTTTGCACACTATATTTTATAACCCCTTGTTACGCTAATATGTAAAATCTGCTGTTATGTTGTTTCATTATTTATGAGCCACCCTGTACATATTATAAAATTTAAACTATTAAATACTTACTTTACTAGCTGAATAAACATTCATAAGTGGTAACGGCTGAAGTTCTGCCCCCGACGAAACATTAACTATTGCCCCTCTTCCTTTATTCTTCATTTCTTCAATTATCATTTTGGTCATCATTGTTACGGCTCCCACATTAATATTAATTATATCCCATAATTCTTGATCTGGTACTTCCCCCAAATACATGGGATACGAACATTGCTTGCCAACATTATTTACTTAAAAAAAAAATATTGATTTTACATACCCACAAATAACGTACGTATCTGTAATACAACATTTCTTATAATTTAAAATATCGTACATGGGTTTGGATTATTTCTTAAGCTCTAAGCCAATCAGTTTCTTGTTAAATGTTATAACTGGTTTAGTCCTTGTGTTTATGTCTTTCCCAACAACTATACATACGCTCAAAAATAATTACACATTGGGAAAATGCATAAAACGCCAGTTGCAACCAGTTTTAAAAAGGCCTACTTGAAGTGCTGGTTTTTCCTTAACTTCGTTAGGGACTCTGAACGTAATATTTATAGGCGTAAAACACTTGCTTCAGGCATCAAAACTTCTTAAAATCGCTTGTATATTTGAAGATGAACGGTCGACATACTTTTTAATTAATAATACTACTATTATTTATTTAATAAAC